GATAAGTTATGCAACATGTCTCTTTTCATTACTCTTTATTCTTTTACACTTTCCAACTAATATCTCTCTTGTTTATTTCAACAGCATCCGATTTTTCTCTAATTATTATGAGGAAAAGTAACTGTAACGACTTGAAACAATCCATATTTATACATTTTATGTTGATATTTGTTTTTAACTAATTTTGAAACATCGTATTAAATCTTCAACCCTTTTTCACCTATTCTTGTGAGCGTTTTTTTTTGAATCAGTATTTTCCCTGCTTGATTTCCTACTCGTGTTAAGTAATCTCATCAAGTTAGATTAATGTGAAATGTTGCAACAATATCGATCGATACATATCGTCATACTTGTTCTTTTGTTATACAACTATGACAGACTGTAGTCGACGTGAGCATAATAATAATATAATTGGTGATTATTCAGATGATCTTCATCTGACTATTCTGCATTATTTTTTTACGCGAAGTTTTGATACCAAAGTGGGTAAAGTACCTAAATTTTAAGCAGTATGGTTTGAAATCTTGTTCTATCTATTTTGGGTTTCGAGTAGCTGATTAGTAGTATAACACTACCAGTCTAGCACATTGGGCTGTATTATTATTAGCCGAGATCTGTTTACCTTTTTTATGTAATGAAAAACACGCCACTGTTTGGATATGTGACTCGGACTTTCTAAAGATATATATATATATATATATATATATATATATATATATATATATATATATGCAAATCTCTGGATTTGGGTTAGACAATAAAGTTTTCTCCTTGCTTAAGTAGCTGTTTTGGGTTCATGTTTAAGAAATTTATGTATTAATATCAGAATCGGACATCGCGCAACATAACATACGCCCATACAACATTGATTTATATCTCGAAGTTGGGTGCATAAGTTACATGAATCAACTAATTAATAATTTTACACCCACTTCATATGAATTGTGTTCTGTTTCTTCTTAATGACGTAACATCATCATTTACGCGTACATTTTTATTTTTCACGTAAAACTAATGGATTGTGTTTGAAACGATCAACCAAATTGTTTGTTTATTTTGCTTATTTCATTCAGTTGTCATTTTTATTTATTGATCTATTTACTATGCTCATATGTTCCATTTGGGGTAACAGGCTTAGTTAAGTAAGTAACTTCCTCATCTTATTAGGTCACATGTTTTAATCATGTTTTGAAACTAATTCTCATATTCGATGTGTATTCATTTTTTATTTACCATTCCTTTCTGGCTAATTTCTTCTGATTGAATATACAATCAGTTGTAAATTAACTTTTAAAATATCTTATGGAAAAATATTATGAATTTACTCTTTCCATTTATGTATCTTAACAGTTAAGTGAAGTAAGAAAAATAATGATTAAAGTATGGAATAAAACGAAATTTTTTATGATTGAGAGAAGTTTGTGTATGGTAATCAGAAACCGATTTACACTGCTAATACACAAATCAACAACAAATATGATTGTCGATCATACGCTGCCACCTCGATCCCCCTTCATAAACTTATGAATTTCAATGAGCTATAAACTGTAGGAAACTAAAGCCTGATTTATAACTGTGAAAAACATATATTTTAAGGAAAGATATCACTCTTTTATATTACAGATTTTTTACAGTAATGATTAGTTAGATTTAACTTATTACTGACATTAGTAAGTGTTGTGTTGAATGAATACATGACAGACATGATCAGAATACAATCGACTGTCATACTGAACGATTATCCAACTAGATTAATTTGTTTATGGTTTCTTCTTGTCAATATCATTATTAGTTTAGTCAATACGTTATAATATGATATACATGTCAGTTTGGACACTTATTATATTGTTGCTGTATTCTTTTAACTGTTGAATTTCAACTAGACTATGTTTCATCTTTCACTAGTTCTGTGCAACGCTTGGAATGGAGTTGTCTTCATGAGTTAAGAATATTTATTGAATGGGTTTTATCATATCAGTGTTTTCGTAACATTACTAGGAATATTCTTTAAAGCTATAGTCTAAAAATGATATAACTGATTGGATTTATACGATACTAAAAAATGGATTTGTTTCGCTGATAACATGCGAATTGATAACAGCTATGGTGGTTACCGTCAAAATCCTTATTATGAACTTATAGTTAATTTAAACACGGATGTAGATTTATTTAATTGTTAAACAGAAGTCACAATGTAGTTTAATTAATCATTTTATTCCTACATAATAGCATGAAGGAGTGAGGCTTAATGATTAAAGAGGTCATCACTTAGATAATAAATTTCATATTTGAATCTATTTCGATCTACTTTAGTTTAGACAACCAGATAGTATCACTAGCTTTTTCAGCACCTAATTTATGTAGAGGTCACTGAAAATGTTATCTAGAATAGCAACAACAGCTCCACAATTAAACAACCTAGTTCACGGAATACAACAGTACTAAAAGTTTCTAGTTGGGCTGCAAATACTATTTCAATATCGCTAGCTCCGCCATACACAAACTGTATGATTCGATATTAAATGTATAAATCATTGCTTGGTAAATGAGTCACGTAAATTATCTTAATTTTTCATCATTACATGTAAAGTCATCACAAGAAGTGTTAGGAAAATAGGAAGATATGGTGAAGATTTGTAGCTTGAATGGATGATATTGATGTAGCTTTCTTCCTCTAAGTTGGATGATTTGATCGTGGAGCTTTCATCGCTCTTCTGAACGACATCATCAGGACAAAATTCCCGTAGTGAAGACATATGGCGTTTGGCTGCTAATTGATTTTCATGCAGGCGAAAATGAAGTGAGCGTCAGCTTTGTCGGATCTAGTGTTTTTTGCAGTTGGCACAATTTATTTTGTAGATGATGTTTGGTTTATCTTTTGTCATTTCATCCTTTGGTTTGAATAGGATTGAATGGAGGGATTTCGTTGGTTTGTACGCAACACCTATTCCGAAGGTTTTCAGCAGTCTCGTTGTCGTTTCTGATATAACTATTGTGTATGGTAGGGTGGTCCATCATTATAAACAAAGTCAAGTATAGAAATCAACAAAAGGATCACAAAGCAGACGTCCTTTTCATCTTCGCTTGCATGAACCTCAACTAGCAGTCAAACTTCATGATATGTCTTCACTTATATCAATGCACATGGAAAACTGCGGACACACACTCGACTGGAAAAATGTGGAGATTTTGGATAGAGGAAATTCTAAAAACACCAGAGAATTTTTGGAAGCTTGGCACTCAAGTCAATCAGCAATAAACAAACACATTGAAATCAATCCAATTTATCAACCTATAAGGAAAAGTATTCACAAATATAGGGATAAAAATCAAGCCAATGGGAGATACAGCCAAAACAAAGAAATAAACAATGACAGAATAAAGGTCAATAAGAACCAATCAACATCAAGGTGCACAGGATAAGATGTGAATGATATGTGGAGAAATTCAAACACTTCACTTCTACCCGAAGTTTGTGCTGATGATGTCGTTCAGAAGTACGATGAAAGTTCCACGACCAAACCATCCAGCTCAGAGAACAAAACTTCATCAAAAATAGGAAGACAGATTAAACTTCACATATCATATTTAATGACATTTTATTAATGTTATTATTATTTTAATGGTCTGCAGTCATCTCATCTTCAATGAAAAAACATAGTACTGATCGTTTTTGACTAAATATAATTTTGAAATAAACTTAGCCGGTGACGGAGTTAAATGGTAAACTCAGTAATGAAATAATGGGTAAATAAATCCTTGAAATTATGGTGAAAATCAATAGTTATGGGTGTTAAATTTTGAATCAATAAAGAAATTTAACATTTATAATATAAAAATAATATTTTTGCTTAGATTGTTAAATTGACACTATTCAACATAGACAGAATAAGGGACTATTTAAAAATGTAGTGAAAAGTGTTTTTTTTATAAGGGGAGATTATGTAATATTAATCGTAAGGTAATATAAAACAGTAAAGTGAAAATAAATTCTAGACGAAAAAAAAATTGTCTACCTAAACAGTCCCAAGAAAATGTAATTAAGTAGAAATAACGGGTAAGGACCTTTAAAATTATAAAACGTGTTACTACTACTATTGTTAATTATTTCGAATACCGCGGTGAAGTTGAGGCTTGAATTTATAGTTTTAACATGCACAGATCTGTTTTGAAACGATGATTTCCCAACGCTTCTGTTGAGGTTAGAAATTCATTTGAAAAATGTATGCTTTATACAGTCAATACAAACCAATCTATAATGTCAAGTGGACTGATAAATATACATTGAAATGAATGAAACTTATGTTTAACACATCTCATCAGTTTGCAGCTGGGAAACATAATTTAATATTTTGCGGAATAGCAAATCTTAATGATCTAGTTAATTGAGATAATTCCAATGGGAATTAAAAATACTAGTCATAATCAGTATCAGAGTAATAAAACCTGGTCATTGAGAAGGTTACGAACGTTGACAAGACTGTTTGGAATAAATTCATTAATTCAGTTTAATAGCTAGATAATTGTCGAAAGTGTATTCCATTGCCATTAAGTCACAAAGATTTCTAAGCAGTATTAGAAAGTTTCTGTGACAATATCGACTCAATCCTCACAGAATAGACGCATGCCGAAACGTACCGATCAATTATAATCCTTACCATCAACAAGAATATTCAACACAACAACATATAAATTGAAATTTACCACTCTCCCATTGTACAAGCTAGTGACTATCTGAGAATCGGTATTTGGTTTTGAGTCGTTATATGAATGTCAACACTGATGTGCAGGTAAATTCAGATGAATATTCGTAATTGGGATATAATGCGCATCCTGGATTCTACTATCAGCCACAATGCACTTATGCTTAATAGTGATTATTATTTAAACAATGTTAATCTTTTGATTTCTATTGAATTTCATGTACATATACTTTCTTTTTTTTATCTGTAATTCTTTTTGTCTCTTACATCATCTACATAATTTTTGATCTTCTTTAGTCTGCCTTATTAGCGGCTTTTTCAGCTGGAATGGTTATGGTTCATAATCCATTGAAAATCAGCTGTGAATCAGAGAGTCAACAAACGACCAGTGATACAACAACCACAACAACGACAGCAACATCAGTTGGAGTGTACTCATCCAAGTTGAAAACTATCAAAGGTAGTGAAACACCTTTAACACGTTATCAATGGGATTATGAAAAAGACGAAGAAGATGGAAATAGAGTATATGGTGAAGAAATAACGGATAATGGTGAGGAACATGAGGATGATGAAGTTGGTGAAGTGGATGCTGAACAATATAAAGATGATGACTCTGAATATGATATGGAACGAGTTATTGTCGCTGGTGGCAGTAGTGATAAGTCTAGTAATGCAGGCAATTATGCAATGGGTTCACACTGTCTAGATTCTGGTGTACTTCTTAGACAAGGTATTATTCTACGTGGAAGTAGAGGTGGTTCACCAGCATCGGTAACTACTGGTGTTGGTAGTGGTGTAACGCATCAAACAGGTTTCGGTCATTCGCATCCTTCTATTTCTCAGTCGAATATTATTACGCCATCATATCGTGGTCTTGTAAAAAATAATAATATACCTAGTAGAAATAATGAAGAACTAAAGAAATCATTTGTGTTCACCTCAACCAGTCAAAATATCTCATCTGCACCACAAAATATTCCAACTTATATTAATACTCCACATGTTATTCAACACCCTTTGTCCAAATCAAAACCAGCCTTAGTGTCGGGTACTTCAATCACACTTGCTGATGGTGAGTGTTTACTTTTCTTCAGTGTATTTTCCAAATATCGAAACGGTTTTCTGTTTTCTTTTTTAAATTGGAAATCTTCCAGTAGAACTATCGTTAAATAGATGTCATATTTATGGTGAATTAAAATTGGTGCCAAGAAATAACTGTTTGAAATTTGTTATGACATAAAACATATACTGTTAGTAATTATGCTTAATTGATCGGGGACTGATAATATGGTAATTAATTAATAACTTCAGTCATTTCAGGAAATATAATGATTGATCACTAAAATAGTGAGTGGAATGAAAAAAATTCTGATATTGTGAAGTTTATACGACAAAATAATGGAGCAGTGGCTCAATGGTTAAATCGTTTATTTTTCAGATAAAAATTGGTCTGCGATTAAAGTCGGTTGACAGAAAAGCCTAGATCTGAATTTCATAATTCGCAAGAGACAGGAAAGGCTCAGGGAACACTAAGAAGCATTTTATCCAATCAGCGTTCACTAGAAGTTTTGCTAGAAACATCACGAAAGTAAAAAGTCACATGTAGAGTTTCTGATTGGCTGAATATCACACTGCTACTATGTTTGGTAACATTTCAGAATTTTCAGGGAAACCCAAGGACTTCTAAAATACTATAAAAGCCCTATATTTTCTGTATATAAATGAATCTTTGGAGTAAAGTGCTTCTCGCATATTTTGCGCTTTTTCTCTCGTGTTCAAGTCGCTGCGTAGATTTAGCTTGAGGGTTACGAGACTAGATTAGGATCTGAGTATAGCGTTCAATTAACAAGACTTATAAGACATTTTATGCGGCCTTACAGAGATGAACATGCATCAAGTATTGTAACTAGCATTTAGATATGTTTAACATTGATCTGTCTAGACCATAATTTATTCTCTATAGAACTGAATCAAGTATAGTGTCTTACCCTCAGTACTAAGCAAAGTCTGTTGATTGAGTTTGCCGTGGGATCCATAAGTTATGTAACCGGACCCTGCCACATTACAAGAAAAGGATTTCTTTAGAAATTTCAGACAGCGATTTATCCACCCAAGCAGACATACTTCACATCAGCACAGCGACAAAAGCAGGAAATTGTTATGGCGAAAACTTAACGGACTGAAATACTAGTAGTATCAATAATAGTTACACAAGCGAAGCATTTGGAATGTAATTTGAAAATTATCCTGGTAGTAGTGTGGTATGTGCTACTGATGTCGACAGATATAAGTAGTATGTATCATCAATCGTAAGTGAAATGCCTGGATGCAGAACGTTAAGCCGATCAAAGAAAAGTGAATGAGAACAAAGAGTGATTGGTATGGAAATCAAAGAAAAATAAAGTCTGAGACGGTTTATTGACACTTTGCCAATGGAGTACTTACTGTATAGTTCTCAGATTTCACTAAGGAATTCTGTAATTTTGTATTCAAATATATTCGATTGTCCATACTTGTGTTTTTGTTTACTAGAGTAGTTAGCATTAGACGTACAGTATAGATTTATGGTTGTTGTTTGCCCCTTAACATGGGTTACCACCAATCAAAGTTCAACATTATGTATCATTTAGGCTTATTCTTCACATTACGGAATTGATCTTAGTATAGTTCTTTGTTCAGCACTAAGGACTAGACAGTATGAAATTGATTACTTAGTATTAGTGACCTCTTCTTGATGGGAAATGTCGTTGAAAAAACTTTTAAGGTTTATGTCTATGATTTTACTGGACTATTATATTTCTATCACACTCTTATTTGCTCTTTTTCTGTAACCATATTACCCTTAAATTCATTCATTTCAGCTTTAAATCCTGATATACCAGATGATTATACTGCACCTAACGCTACTGGTTCCCCTTCTCCAGCACCAATACCGATCAGCCAAAATCTAGCGAATCAGTTGTGTAGTCATGTTACGACAATCAGTCCAAATATGAATATTCCTAGTAGTCATCATCATCGTCATCATCATCACCAGGGAAAATCATCACGTCTACTGAATTCACATTTGAACAAGCCAACAATTATTGATAGTAAAAAGCAGTTACATCATTCAGAAGTTTTAGTATCTATAAGTAAATCTTCTCCAGACTACGATAATGCTTCTCGTTCATCCTCATTAATACACTCATCCAATGAGTCGTTTTACCAAATCGGTAAACATTTTAGACCAGGCGGTGGTAGTGGTGCTGCTGTCGGGGTTAGCGGAGATCAAGTTTGGAAAGCTCCAAGTTCTGAACGAGTTGTCCGATGCGTTGAAACAATTATTATGCGTATTCGAAGTTTGGTAGAGGTGAGAATATTTTTCTGATTGTTTATACTTTTGATTCACTGTGTCCCTCCAGTCGTAACACAATCAGTACTTGAATCAGAGACATTTTCAGCTTTTTATTTTTGGTGCTTACTTTTTGATTTCAAGATTGTTATCGCTATTGTCATTATCATTGTTATTGGACGTTATACATGTGAAACTATCTTTACGTAATAACTACATTATATATATATCATCTTGTTGTGCTAACGAGGTATGGCAACTTGGACGGATGCATATATGTGCCTGGTCCTACGTTGTCGCTGACTGACATATATATATATATATATATATATATATATATATATATATATATATATATATATATATATATATATATATAAGGTTAAATATTGTCAATAGCAAGTCAAATCAATGGTTTGATAACAAATAAAGCTCTCGAACTTCAACAATTGAATACAGGTTCAAACTCGACCTAACCTACTTTAATTTTTGCAGTCGGTCGCTATAATTGGTTCTCAAACGTGTGTGTATTGCTTAAACTGGGGTTATATAAACGTATGTTTGGTCATCAAGTTACGTGTCAATCTTTTTTCTGTTCATGAGATATGGATATTGCCGATCGCAATAAAATACATGTTGTATTTCAGGCTGTCACACTCATATTGTGTAGCACTATCGTGAAATATGTATGTACCTATATTAACTGATACTGGTTTGTATGATTGGATTACCTGATCGCCTAATGATACATGTTTTTGTATCACCATCAAAACTGAAGGTCCAGGTTCGAGTCACGTGTGCGGGATCGTGGATGCGCACCTCTGAGCAGTCCCATACCCGGACGAAAAGGCCATTCAGTGCTTCCAGGTTTTCAATGGTGGTCTAACATTAATCAGTTCATGATGTAAATTAAAACTCAACAACTTCCACAACCCTATGACGGTCAATTAATTTTGTTCAGGCTTTTTTATTTATCTTATTAGTTCAGTAGCATTTTTCTGGTATAACAGATTTGAACTCTTGTTTATAATTTATGGATTTAACACGTGTTCTCTTGTTGGCATGATGTTTTAATTGATAAAAAACATATAAGTCATTAGTAAAGGGGGTTTGTGAGGAACCTAAAATTTTTAGTTTTAAATCGAGGGTTGATCTTATCTAGATCACCAGTGAAATCTTAGAAACACTGAACGGAGATTTCTTTATAGTATGGGACTCCTCATTGCTTAATTTTGTTTTCCGATATTTATAAATGAACTAGTGTTTTCCACCACACTGTAACAATCAGCCATTTGAAAGACATTGAATGGAAATCTTAAGGTGAAGATTTCACGTCTCTTATTACGAAACAACCATCATGGTAATATTGACATATACGTGTGAAATGTCAATGATTGTCTAATATAATCTTTTGAATCCAGTTCGCCGGTAATTTTTAAAGTAGAAACTGACACATATGTATCAGGTCAAATTGCCACACCACAATATTACATAGAGATTAGTTTATTAAGGTTCATATGCGAGCAGTCGAATTAGTAACGGTATCTTTTTTTGACGTAGATTGTTTTGTAAAATTTAGAGATTTCAATTTATTATATCAAACTTTATGATTTTTTGTTAGTTAACATTTTGATGATAGTTGACTTTAAATCATTAGATTCCGAGTTTGCAACTACTAACCATCTTACGATATTCGATATAAGTAGTCCGATAGTATCATTGGTTCAAATATGCTTAAAATTCCGTTCTATTGAATTGCATTACTCTCATTAAGTAGTTTTTAGTAGCTAATTTCAATCCATAGTAAAATTACAGATCAACAGCCATTTAAAAGTTCCTTTATCAGACACACTGACCAGGATTGTTTGCTCATAAATCTGAACATTATCACATTAATTTGTCTAGGAGGAACTTTGGACTGTTGATCTTGTAATTTTGACTCGAAAATTAATAAATCTTATTCTCATGTATTTTGTCGCTCATAAAAATATTTTTGTAGATGGTAAAGTTTAGTTAAATAAAACGATTCATAAAATATGTTTCTGATTATATTTCGAATGTGACAATTGTATCAAACTATACGGTGTTTATGTATATGATAACTTGATAGTTCAATTTATTTAAAGTTACATCTCTATCCCAACTGTTTATGTCAACATACATTGTAGTACTATTTTAGTTTGTTTTAGTAAATCAAAAGTGCGTTTACATTTGAAAACAGTAACCATTGATAATTGACGTTTTTTGACTGTATAACTTTCATTTCATGTCTTATTTTTATTTTTTACACACTTGATACGCTTAGATTGCTAATGGTGATCGTCATGATAACGATAGTGCTCATTGTTCTCGTTTAATTCAGTTGGCTGTCAAAGATTTATTAAATTTATTCCCTTCTGATGAATCTCATCCTGTGGAAGTGAAAAGTGCATTAAATAATCTTGCCACAGAATCCGAAAATTTACGACTCGATTGTGAACAAATCACCACTTCGTCTTCCTTTACACCTCCTTCCTCTTCCAGTATTGTTGGATCTGTCAATCAAAGTGGTCGACCAGTTCCACCGGAGATCACTATTCTAATACGTCATGCTCATCAAATTGCTAGAGCTGCAAAAGATTTACTTTCGCTTTTTCAACGATCTGATCAATGAATCGTCATTATGTCAGAATGAGACTATTAGTGTTCTAACTGAGTTTATTTTCTACATGATCATAATATCAAAAAAGAGAAATAAAAAGAAAATGAAACAAAAGAAATAATCTTTGAAATTATATGCGCGCCAGTCTTGTGACTAAACATTTCAGCAATTCTGATTATGTTTAATATTATCTAGTCATCATTTCTTTTATATTTTCTTGACGTCATTTCTATAAATTAACTATTAAACTTGTATGATTTATTTACTTTTATCATTTTCTCTTTTTGTTGTTGAGTTCTTTCATCGAAATTGTAATTTGTTTACTTCAATCTTTTCATGTTTTTTGGGGTTTTTTAATGGGATAGGACCGATCTTATTTTGTTTTATTTATTTATTTATTTTTAAATGAACTTTTTGCATAATTTTTACTTCATGAGTACTGTGCTCTTTTTATCGATGGATGTTTGACCAGTTTGTGTGATTTTACTATCAGCTTGATTTCTTAATGTGTGTGTATGTGACAGATATAAATCTATGTTTCTTCTTGCTCATTTTCATGAATTAGGGATAAAAGCTGTAGTTTTTCGTGGAGGGGTAGTAATAATGATGATGAAAAAGTTGTCCCACTGAAATATGTTGATATTATTTTTCTTTATCCTCATCATTTGTGTAGATATGTTAAAGCAATACATGTTAAGATGTGTTCTGGATTTAACTCTGTCATACTGTACTACTTTAAACTGTGACAACTCTGTTGAATATACATTGATGGTGATGATTTACTTAAATGTCTTGTAGTTTTTTTATGTATTGATGAAGATGAAATGATAAGGTTAGAATATGCATAAGTGTTAGTACTATCCGGGTGAATTTTTTAACAAGATGGTATTTTATGTCAATAAGAATTTTCCATTGTAAACTGGAGCTTATAAGAAATGTAATACGTTTTATTTATAAGTGACTTTACAGCATTCGCCTAATAGGAATCACAAAATGAGTAACGATAGGTAGGTAGGTAGGAAAGGTTACTAATTCATAATTAATTTAGGGATTAGGATAAGTGGGCATTAAGCCAAGCTGTTTCATTACATCATCACCGTGACAGAAAGTTAATACAATAAGTTGGAACTGTGTTAGTATCGGTGCTACTCAGAAAGATAAAATACGGAATATTTTTTATTATATGGAAGGGTTGTAATAAGGGAATAAAACGTATGAGATAATATTAAATCTTAAGATTTGGGGGAATATAGCGATGATTGTTTCTGCGTCGTTGAGATTGATTTTGAGTTAATGTCTCCAACCACTGATCGCGGTCATTCATTGTTGTCCTGACTTTACCTTTCTCCCGGAATTCTCTCTTTTGTTGGGATCCTTTTTCTTCAGCTGTACCAGTCGATATTCTTTTCAGGTTTTTATTCCTTTGTTGAGTAAATTAATGAAGTCTATTCCTAAATTTTAGTCAATTTATAATAATAATATATTCTGAAAATAATTACAGAATTCATTCCAGTTTACAGGCATGATCAACCTGATATAGATAGTAATATTAAATGTAGAGAACAGATATGTGATGTAAAACTGTTTAAAGTGTTTTAGTTCAAAAACCGTTTAGACAGCACATTTTTCACATATATTACAGCAATGAAAGGCACTAGCCAAGAACTTTTAATTCTTGGTAAATAAGAACTTTGCAGTGATTTACAATTTGAGAGTAATTTCTGTTATAAACTGGTATCATAAGACTTTCTCATAGCTAAATGATAAGTCGTTACTTAATGAAGAATTCATTCAAATACAAAGGTATACACTGTATATTTGTTGAAACAAGTTTAGGTTTGTAAATTAATAAAGACATGTATTGTTATTCTTTTCTAAATTCCATTTATTTTAAACAATATGATTAAAGCATGTATGGAAGAAACAAACAAAATTCATTTAATTTCACTATTGTATACACTGACGTGTAGAAAGTGAACATACATACTCAATATTATGTTGTAAGATCTAGATTTTGAGCATAACTTTTAACTATGACTGAAAACTGAGTACATGAGGAACAAATTTAAACAACAAAAGCAAATATACAAAAATTCAACTTTGCTTAATAATCAACTAAGTTAATATTGGGATAAATAATAGTGGGTGTAAAAATAATTTAAGATATAAGGTATTAAGTAATTGGATATGATAACTGAATGCAATATTTATCATAAACAAATGTCATTAAAAGTATGGGATTATGGAGATTGTTGAGTTTCATTGAAATCATAGATCGATCTAAGTTGGACCATTACCAAAAAAACATAGAAGCACTGGATGGCCGCCTCTTCCTAGTTTGGGACTCTTCAGTGGTGCTCATTCATGAACTCGCAAGGAGGAATCGAACACAGGACCCTTGGTTTCAAGCGCGAACGTCTAACCTTTAAACCACTGAGTCAGTGTCCAACGGTGTTATTGTCTTACTTCAAACTGCATGTAGTGCTGAGGAGTCCCATAGTAAAACGAAATGGTCATCCAGTGCTTACGGATTTTCAACAGATGGTCTAATTAAGATCGGTTCATAATTTAAATGGAATACTATTGACTTCGAAAGTAAAATATGAAAATAAAAAAAGACAAACCACATGAAAAATGATTGTAAACCGCAAATTATATACTAGTTACTCGCTATGTTGAAGAAAATTTTCTTTAAACAAGGTTAATTTAACGTACTAGTTTAGGTCACGTTATGATCATATTAAGACTATTAGGCATTGAGCATGTAGGTCTTTCAATCAGTGCTCTCGTAAATCTAATATTAGCGGTCGTTACTCTGATGGCCAATATTCGGGTTACAGAATAAAGTTTGCGCAACCCTTTTATGAATTTCAGAGAGGATAAATAACGGAACGATAACACATGTTAGAAATTTATTAGCAATCATCGCAAGCTTTGTTTGTTTGAACACAATAACATTTGCTTTCAACAGTGAAACAATATTCAGTATCCTTTGAAACTTGATAAAAATAACGAATAACATTAATATTTCTATTTATTATTCTCTCCACTATCTCGATCTGGTCATGACACATGTATACATTATGTGATTATCCATCAGTATTTCAGTGTGGATATCCGGCATTTTCCTGTCCAGTTAGTGAAGTGTAGGATATAAGGATGAAATTTCCACGGAAGATTTTATCTGAAACCCCAAGTTTTATAATATTTGTGTTTCTCTTCCAGTATTTCGGGATACGCTACACTATGTTTATAGCAAACGGATGTGGATAACTTCAGGAGCTTGAAATGAAATGTCCAGTGGGAAGTACATTCATATGTAGCGTTCACCTACTACATGAATGGAAAACTACTCGAAAATTCTGGATATCATGGACTTATTGAACACTGAAAAACAAGCGAATATCTTTAGCCATTTACTTTTATAATGTAGAGGAACAGAATGAATTTTTCAAAAAAATGTTAAGGCGTGAAATCTAATTGATGTAATCACATGATTTAAAATAATAGTTACGAGTTAGATGAAATCAAGTTTAAATTTGAGAAAGACAATTACTTAATCGAATAAACTGTATGTTTCATTTTCAACCGTTCAGGTATAAATTTATGAAATACACTGTTTTCAATCATAAACATTTACCAATCACATCACAAGTGTTTGTAAAGGTTAACAGTAACCGTCTATTTTAGGAGTCAAATATATAATTGAAGGTATAAAGTATGGCAATCATACCATCCAGAGCCTTCTTGTACGCCGTAGCTAGTTTAATAACTGTGATGGTTAAGTTTATGAAAGCATGAAAAGCCTTTCTTTGAATTGTAATGATGACCTAGTAACCAAAATACTTAACAACTGATAGTAATTTTAAATTGCAATTATTTTTGATAATTGAACAGATAATATAAAATCGATAAACATTTCACTTGATATCGCCTTAATTTACTTTAGTATTCCTCAAGAAACATACACTACCCAGTTGATTGACTTCAGCATTAATTTTACAAATTCCCTTAGTTACTGATGTGCGTTTTTGGAAGTAAGATATGATTGACCTCTAAACATGGACAAATTCACTCTTAATTTACCAACTAATAAATATGTGATTTCCAAGGAATGGTAGTTGAGACGTTTGACTAACGGCTACTAAGTCCTTGGTTTAAACTCCGCCTCACTGTTAAGTCGGTTTCCAGAGAACTCCAACAGAGCCTCCAGAGGCTCAAAAAGAGATCCAACCAATCAGAGTACGGCTGCACGCCGATTTCGCTGGCCCAATAAGAGGAAGAATGTTTCTCGTCATAGTTGATGCACTCACGAAATGGCCACAAATATATGTCATGGCAACTTGTACAGCCAGTGAAACGATCAGCAAGTTATCCGAACTGTTTAGTTGCTTTGGAGTTCCCGAGACTTTACTGACCGATAATGGATCACAATTCACTGCAGAATCATTCAAGCAATTCAGCAACATTAATGGAATTGTACATATACGGTCTCCACCCTATCACCCTCAATCAAATGGTCAGGCTTAGCGTTTCGTCGACACATTTAAAAGAGCACTCCTGAAAGGGGATGGCGAGGGGGAAAGACAGGTAATTACGAAATTTCTAACAGCGTATAGAACTACGCCTAACCATATCGTCCCAGATGGAAAATCCCCTGCTGAAGCGATGTTCGGGAGAAAAATTAGAACTATGTTTGACGCCATGTTGCCACCTAAACCAATGGTTGGACGCAGACAAAATCAGAATATCCGGAGTTTTAACGTCGGTGATAAAGTGCTCGTCAAGTCATACAGCGGAAAAAAGCGTTGGGAACCTGGAGTCATTGAAAAGAGAATGGGAAATGTTCTATACAAGGTGCGTGGGACTTTCGGAACGTGGATCAGACACATTAATCAAATACACAGAGAAAAAAGGATTATAGACACCGCAGATAGTCAAATGAGGCTTCTGCTAGAAATAGTTACAGATACTCCAGTGGCAAGAACCGCGACAGACACCCATAGACATGAGATACCAAGGAAGTCCGAACGCCGCAGAAAACCTGTTTCCAAGCTGCAAGTAGACCCAAAGAAAAAATCTTATTCGGGGGAGGTGTTAAGTCGGTTTCCAGAGAACTCCAACAGAGCCTCCAGAGGCTCAAAAAGAGATCCAACCAATCAGAGTACGACAGAACATTCTGGAGTTCCAACGTGGCATGCTATCATTGGTCAGTAGCAATATATGTCGTTAAGTGGATTGGCTGAATTAGGATGTTGATTTAACTTAAGCAAACATCTATAAATACCTACGATTTTCTGTACAGGAATGAACCTTGCAGTAAAGCGTTTCTCTGTTACTCGTGTCTTCTCTCTGGTCTTCAAGTCGCTGAATAGTGCTAGCCCTGGGGTTATCCGAATAGCTTAGGATCTGAATAAAGCGTTCAACCTAAAGACGTATCACTCACCCATTCAGGTTTGGCGAACCGAGTAATATCAGTAGCCCTGACAATTAAAGCATGGCTCATCCCCAAATATCTGGTGAATGGGTTAATGTTGGTTTCTAGATATTATTTCTTCTACTAATATCGATTTCTACACCGAACTGAATAAGTTTAGATTATTTGCAATCGTGTTGAATAAAGCATTGCCTTATCTACACTTTCGTTCTTTATATTTCGTCATGAATCATGCATGTGGTATAACACGATCCAGTTTGTGCATAGCGTATGGATCTAGCCAGATGATTCTATCCGTATGATCATAATATAACTTGACAAACCGAAAATATTTTGTATCCTCCCGTTGTTATATCAAATACTTTAATGAACAAAATTACGTAACCAATCATAAACTTAAATTATTAGTAATAAAGCTTCTAGATAATTATCTTTAATGTTCTGTAGACTGATAACTTAATGTCTGTGTCCCACTGCACTCTTGAAATGTATTTAACTCCAGTTCATTAATTTGAATAAGAAAAACATGCCCATGCAATCCTATACTCGTTTATAACCATACTGATCATGAACTTAAGGTCAATTTTCATTCGAATCCGTCGAATAAAATGTGTCTTCTATGCGCATGCTATAGCACTAGCCAGCCTGTTTATCCGAAGGAGAATGTTATTGAATCAATAGTTCAATTCTCGAAGGCTTACTCCAATATAGTCACTTGACCCCACCAAAATTAATTACCAAGTTGAATAAACCGGATAAGATGAAGTACAAATCAAGATCATATGAATGAGAGAGGCTTCAGTTAATCCAATTTAAACTTTGAAACCAAAGCCAAACCTCCAATTCTTATTTTTACCCACATACCTACCCTCATCTAAATTATGAAACTTTATATTAAGTTGTCACCCGTTTGTTTCTTCCTCACCTCTATATCAGTAAAATGGACAATTAGCATACATAAACTTCTGTTGACTATTTTCAACTTGATATTCCTCATTACGCAACTTCTTTTAATATAATATATCTCTGTAGACCAAATCAATTTATTTTATATTAGACTACTATTCGTGCTAAATAACTATGAAAATAGTTTTACAGGTCTAGTAAACGGCTTTATCGGAAAGAAATTCCACTTTAACCAAATAGACAATTTTGTCCAATTTCCTCTTTGAATAAGTAATAATCCTGCCAGACTATAATTGTTTTCTTCTTTTGTTGGGAATGTCAAATCCCCAGAACTTACTTGGTAAATAGCTTAGTTTTGTAATTTTATTTTGGAAATTTGAATTTAGCTGTTTTCGCGCCAAACGCGCTCTTTTTACCTTCACGTCATATTTTCCACCTGTAAACTATCTTAAATGCTATTGGTCCATTGTTTTTTTGTGTGTGCTATTTACTAATGATGCTCAAGGACAATTTGTTGCTGTATAAATGCGCTTGACTTTTTCCCTTATTCGATTGCTTGTACTCGGCTGCTTACGGAATACATATATATTCCCCTACTTGCCTTGGACTTTTTCATCTAGGGCCTGGGACAACAGACTAGAATAGCTTATCGTGTCATTGTGTCATTGGCTTTCGTTCGTTACCGCGTAATCGATTTAGTTCAAGCATAACACATTTACATATAGCCAATTCAGTGTATACGAGATATTTGGGTAATACATATTGGAAAAGGTATTCGACAATAAAAGTGAGCCCAGAACGGCGATTTAACAATGCAAGAAAATATCACTAATATTTTATAACTGACTAAATATAATAAATGAAGAGAGAGCATCAAAAAGGCTACTTATCAGTAAAAATAAGCGAATAAAAAGGATTTATCACCTTGACCTGAGGTGAGGAGATATGAGCTATTTGGTGCACCAGGCGTTTCATCTTCGAATCAAAGAAGTCGGAGAGTATTCCACACCCATTTTTTAGCTAGGTAGTAACTAATTCAGTACTCTAATGAGCTAGGCAATTGGATGACCTATACATTTTCCAGTGAAACAGAATTTTTTTTCAATATAGGTACATTAGGCCGAAGAGACATTGATTCAACGAAATACATCTCAGTTACTGTAAACAATCACTGCCAGAAAAAAAAACAGTATATCAGTTTGGAAAAGTGACAATATTTTATATGATCATATCAAGATGTATCTCATTAAGATTCAATTCTATGTTTACAAGCACTTATTTAATGTGAATATAAAGAAGGATATGAAAACATACTGAGCGAACAATGTAGACCACAAAATCTGAATAAATTAGTTAGAGAATGATCACTGGTAAATGGAAATACATAGGAAGTAAAGCGAAATAAAGCGAAAGAACAATCGATTTATTCTTTCAAAATATTTAAAATGTCCGTAACAGATTGCAAAACATGTTTTGGTCGAAATAATTCATTTTCTGGTGAACAGTTTACTTTATCAATTAACGCTTGGTTAGTGACACCCGTCAGGACGCATACCGTATGTAAACCAAATTTATTCCCAAATGCGATATCAGTATATAAGCTAAAAGTTAAAGGGAAAAATAGAATGAAATATATAAAATACAAATTAAAACGCGATTTTTTAATGAACTACAAATACAATATATAATCTCTTTTCTAAAAGGAACAAAAATCAAATATATCTGACTTATATTTTCTTTACAACAAATGTGAATATGAGTATGAACAAGGAATAGTTTCGACAGTTTTACACATATTTGTAACGTACATGTTTGCATGGACAGTTTTGAGCCAAACTTTATGGTGTAAGAGCCAGTGGTATTACTATTAGTGGCCTCCTTGAATATCTGGGCTACCTGTTTCTACCATCTAGATATTTCAACAAGTTATGTTCTTGTTTGTCTTAACACATTATCATGTGTATTAATCGTACAAGTTACAAAAAGCAAAATCAGAGACATCGGGGAGGCCGGCATTATGTGTTGAAAAGAAAGAACATTATTCAGATGTCGATTCCTGAACTGCTAACATCTAACTGGCGATTATTCTGTAGTGCCGCGATTCGTTAATCGTTTACTTCGGTAACCGTTATAATTCTAATCTTAACGGTGCGTAAAATCAGAAGATAAAGGATAGCAGCAACTACAGTTTATTGTCGAATAACTCAGGTCAGAAAGTTAACAACACCTGAGCGAATATCAACGAGCGAGTGAACAGGCGAATAAGCAAAGGAAGCGAACGAGGAGCAAGCGAGCGAGTGGCAAGTAATTACATAGGCAATTTATAGTCAAATTTAATAAGAGCACAGCAAAGCAAAACAAAGGCTGATAATAATATTTGCGTGCGTACATATATGGGGAGGAGTATGAGTCATCGAATGATATCTAAGCTGTCAACATTTCGGATTGAGTGTCATGTGCTCTAGTGGTATAGCAGTGCAAAGAATATGCAAATTGTTACTATCCGAATGACAATGTCTGTTAAGTAAGTTATAAAAAGGGCTTAACCAAAATTGACTGGAATCGAAATTGATTGTAGGATGGTTGCTATAATTCAATATTAATCGTCAGGATCGATCAAGAAATAAAAAAGGAACTTATGGAAGTATTTTTTGCTTTGTGCTGAGAATTCTGTATTTTACCCATAATATAATATTGAATAAAGCCATTAATAATAATGATAATAATAGTAAGAATAATACATGGTTGCCGAAACAGGGGTAGGTAGGATAGAGTTTGAACCTACAAGATGTTGGTCGGAAGGCCAATTATTTAACCACGAAACTATCCATTAACAAAAGCTCCAAGTAGTTAGTGAGAGATTTAATAGCAACAACTACGACCATTAATGACCGATGACTGCTGATCAGTACCAAGTCATGCCAACTAGGGGCTGAGTTGAATCAACAAGAGTTGATAGACAGATAAAGTGGACGGTGGTACAAGACTAAATGATTGAACTGGATCTAGTGCGAATAGGTTAGATTACTAAAGATTAAAAGAACACAATAGATTCCACTGATGTCTAAGTCATTTTGAACGGAGTAAGAATAACCAACCATAAGACAACTCACGGTCCAAAAACGAATGCAAAGTTTTATAGTAGTGTCAACGATTAATGAAGACAAAAACGCATATTAATTACGAGTGGGATGATAATGAAATAGGAACTAGGTCATTTAAGACAAAGTATGGACTCAAAATGAAGGTTATTTAGTAAACTAGCAGGTTGTACTCGACAATAGCTCTACAGTCTTGTGTCAAATATGTTTCTGAGTAAATGATACCTGAAAATGTCCGCTTAGCTGGCGATGTGAAATTTAAAGTCAGTGGAATATACAAATGAATTTTGTTAGACTGGATATTTAAGTGAAAGAGGATGAATGTATTCAAATTCCATTGCTCATAGTATGCAAAAGAATGGCTATAAAACTTAGTACACCTAACTAACTTTTGAAAAAATTAACTTGTTATCAAAAACATTAATGTAACGTACTTATCTCCAACCATCACGGTTTTTGAAGGGTCCAATTCGCAACATTGGCAGAGTAGATCAAACATGGGTTTATGTGGTTTCCCAAATACAACAGGCTCCTTTCCTGAAGCAACTCTGAAAGCCGATACGATAGATCCAGTACCTAGAAATGTCAATTAGAAACAGGATTATATATAGAGGAATTACGGACTGGTAAGTGGTCAAGAAATAACTTGGTAAGGACTAAGGATTTTTATGCCTTCATATATTACAATTTACAGCTTTCGTCTCACGATTCCAGTCAAATTTTTAACGAATATTAGTAGTAATACTGAGATAGCACCTAAGTCTGTAGATCATGCTACTGGCTTCAAGTTGGCCAGCGAAAGTGAAAGAAAACTTGAACCAATTATTATTTGTTTATCATCCTGTCTATTAAACTAAGAAACTTAGATGTCATAAAATACGTAGGTATGTTGAAAAAATGCGCATCGGTTAAAGTTTTCAAACAATTACATCGCTAACATTCAAACCATAAGAAACAAATATATGTTAAGGTATCAATTTGTTAACCAAAAGTTCCCTACATCAACAACAGCTTTATGGGATATTGCATTTAGGAGGAATGTTTGAATAAAATTTAATTAGAGAACAAAGCGCTTTCAAAATTCAGGGTTATTTTGCCATTTTGGTGTCGTTGTGGTACTTGTCACCGGATAGTCATTCAATTATGTTTTACGATGAACTTCCGGTTCATGAGTCAGGTAAATAGAGGTGCTAAAGTTGATTTTATTGTTGTACTGGTCACTGGATTTTTCTGATAAGATATACACGTTATCGTCACAATACATAAGAATTGTTGGGATATGGTACATCCTACAGATAAATCATTTATTTGGTCTTGATAAATCTAACACTGAGTCTCTTTTTGGAGAAGGTAATACTACCTCCCGTTGAATATATAGGACTCCCATAGATATGACTGGTTTACGTTCTGAAATATTTGCAAAAAGGGTGAGATTGCATTTTATAGACGAACCAGTCACACTTAACGCAGTGAATCTTGGATTTTGGGGCGGGATTCCTTCATCTACACGGCTTAATAGCATGTTAGCATTATAAGTGATGTCAGTTCGTGATGAAGACCCTTAATTTAATCTTTACCCTAACTTCCAACTCTGAATCTAAATTATGGCTTCTCACAATAATTTATAACCTTTTTTTCATCCTAGTAAGCAGATGAATTTCCTCAAGGTCTTATTAGTACTGCTCGAAAATCGTCCATAAATTAGTCTCACCAGATAGTTAGCACACATACCAAACTTATTTCATTGTTTTCTTTGTCTAGTTCTCCCCTTCTATTTCAGCCTTCTTGCCAGCTTGGCTAGGTAGTTGGAACTTTGAAACCACAAGAGAACAATATGAATCCAAAAGTTTAACTAACCTGGAAAAACAATATTGCCACCCGGTAGTTGTGCATCTTCGTTTGTAGCGTAGAAACAGGCTCCATTATTTATGTAGGCAGTTCCTCGCATCAGTTTCCTGTAATTAAAATGACTATCAAAGCCAACAAGGACGGCTTTCACCTAAGGCATAACATAACTAACTAGTCTTACGTTTGGCCTTAATTCCACTCCATGAAGAGGATTAGACGAGTCCACCGGGAAATCAGGCTATACAATATGAAGTGAAATAGATTGATGTTACTCCGATTCCAAAGTGAGATACTCCAGATTCACTTAATTCAGTGCTGATTCCGCTCTCACCGACCACATATACTTCCCCATCAGATATTTTTTCCCGAAGAAAACAGGCAGCAACACGAGCTGTACATATTATATTTTTCTAGGAAGATAAATCGATTTCATATCATACTTCCGATACTGAGAGTCCCAAGCCATGACACTTGGAGACGTATTCTTTTACAGATCTTCTGCTATTATTCGTAATTAGAAAAACATTCTTTTCGTGGTCGAACAAATGTTGTATAAGCGCTTGAGCCGATGGAATAAGGACGTTAGAATTCCAGATAACACCTTAAACATTAAGAAACTGACAACCCTCACCATCACAGTCAAAAAGGAAAGTATCACAGATGCGCAGAACCGCAGAAGCGACCTTGGTCATTCTCGAAAACTCGCCGCACTAGTCCAATATCCAATACCTTGATGACAAGTTCGAATGAGCCGATTGACTTCTTTGCTCTCGACTTCTGTTATTCCAGTACGATTTTTATATTTTATATCGCACAATATATGATGGTCTAGACATCCGACTGCATTAGTTATAGTCAGTTTGGCAGCTACTTTTGAGTTTTTGTATCTCGTAATGTGAGTGAACTAGTCTTTAGGCAGTGAGGTTTCTGTAGAGAGCAACTAGCGCGATTCCATGTAGGATGTCGATTGATCGCTATTTAAAAAAAAACAGTTTCAAAAATTTAGAATTATAAGGGATTGTTTCAGGGAGTAAATTAATATATAAGTTTTTTAATTAATAATACAACTATCTATAATATGATTATACGCGAAAATTTACAAATTTTAGATAAATGCCATTCGTGTTTTCGTTGCATGTTACACATAGTCATATGTGACAATATTTTTTGCTAGGTTTGTTTTCTTGTGTAAGTTCTAATTTATTTGACTATCACTCGTCACTGCACAATCGTGTGGTGTGTGTACTAAGTGACGATTCGTTTGTACTAGATTATGCACCTAGTACGAATTCCAAAAATGATGTGTTTAGTTTTGCTTTTTTTCTAGCTGCCTCAATATGCGCTATCATGGAAATTCATAGCACATTAATTCCAATACTCCTAATTATCATAATGAGCTACATTCATTATGAGAAAAAGTTAGGCAGTGTAAACATGAGGGGCTTTATGAATTTTTTTTGATAATAAGGAGTACATAAGATTGTCACTTTTGCAGTTCTTAGTTATAATTCTTGCGTGGAAAATACATTCCAAAACCATTTCAGGTAAAGACAGTTGTTAGTCAACGTTACCTACTCGCCTTTCCAACCAAACAGAAGTTAGTGGATGGAAACTTCAAATTATGTCCGTTGAATTTTGCTTTGTAGTTGATGGCTATACTATATCAGAATTAAACACCAAATAGAGCCCTACTTCAAAATGACACTTGATAAGTTTACTGAATTGTACAAAACCAAACAAAACTTTTGTATGTACTCAGCAGTATAAAGCATCGTACCATGGCCACAGGATCACTTGGATTCCTGTGCACACACCGATCGGCTTTTTTAAAGCATTCACTGTCCACCAACAACTTATTTATACATAATTTCTGTAAAGAAAACATCCAGGGTTTAATCACAACTGCACTTATACGTAAGAGTTTCAGTAATGTTAAATAATATTCACAGTATACCAACAAGGACTGTAATATTAAGAAGAATATTAAGTTTGCGTCGAAGAATAATTATAGGTACTTTATTAACTATGTTTTCAAAGGAAAATAATAACAAACAGCTTCATTTGTTTCAGACATAGAACTCGAAACAAATCATGATTTTAGTAAACCTTGAAGTTTGATCAGGAAGTCATTTAGTAACAGTTTAGATTGACGTACTGAAAGTCTTTATTGGAAGCAAGAAAACGTTGTCAAACATCAATGTGTAGGGTTAGTGTTTTTACAGCGATGATGAAATAAACCTGAAAGCCAATTTATTTGAGTAAGTGCAATACAATATTATGTGCTTGTTAGTTGAGAAATCTGAAAGATTTGCAGTTGGCGTCGAGTCACAATTGACTGTAATCACCACTGCAGGATGATTGCGTGTCAAATATCAAGTTGGATCCCTCCATCAGCCAAAAACCAGAAGTCGGTTGACGGTTGTAATAAGATATTGTAGACCATCAATGTTGATGATTTATATTTAATAATTTGGGGTCTACTCGATTTGGACGGGAACGGTGTGACGAACCAGCTAACCTCGAAGCCACACCTCGGGGTCAGCATCTAACATGGACTACCCTTTTGACGTATTAAAGTACTATGGTCGCTTTGAAGACTGGATAACACGAAGGGCGTGATTACGTAAATACATAATTAAGAATGAGCAGTGTAGTGACCTACTTTTATAACGGGAACGCGATTGGTATAGTGGAAACATTTATTATTATAACCAATTGTATCAGTAATAGTTTTACTTTACTTTTTCATGTCAGTGTACCAAACACACCCTTTTTTCCGTCGCCCGTGACCCTGCACGAACTTGAGTACGCTCGGTAGTTCCGATTGTAGAATTTGGCACGTGTCGGTGTGATTCCGATACAACGAGATCGCCAACAAATATATCTTATTTCAACCGTCGACAGCCTTCCGGTTTTTGGCTTATGGCAGGATCCAGCTCGATATCTGGCACGTGATCTTCTTGTAGTGGTGATCATAGTCAATCGCGACTCGACGTCATCTACATGATGTTAGTGAAACCACCACCGCACGGGCCAGTCCATAGCGCATAATTAACTGTCCTTGACTTTGACAGGAATCAATGATCTGTTAGATATTCATTGACCCAACTGCGGGTGATTTGGCTAGGACTCATTGACGTTTTACTGCCCCCTACAATATGTTTGTTGGTGATCTCATTGTATCGAAAGAATATCTATATCGTTCCAAAATCTTCAAATGAAATTACCGAGAGTATGAGAGTTCATGAAAGGTCACAGACAGCGGAAGAATGTATATGCTTCGAACACTTAAACAAACAGGTACAGTAAAACAATCACTGGTACAGTTGATTATTATGATAAATGTTTCCATTATACCGCTTGCGTTCTCGGCATAAACGTAGGTCACTATAGAGTTATGTAAGATTTTTTAGCAAAAAGGATTGCCGGATATGTCAGGGGATCAAAAATTTTGATGAGGGCAAATTGTACATGAACCTCTAGAGCAAAAAACCAATTTAAATATTTTCAGGTAGGGATTTGTATATATATGTAATAGGGTAACATTTGTTATTGGCAGAAGATGAATTTAATCTCATAAACGGGTTTGGAAATGATCCGACCATTTAACAGCTTATGGGCACACAATGCCTTAAAAGGATTCAAGTGTTCAGCGTTAACACAACCGTCACTCTAGACTTCTATATGTCACTTCTAATTCAAGGCACAGCTACCTTGAAGGGTATGACCGTCTGTTTGAACGTAAAATTATTTGCGCCACACACTCAAATACAAATAGGTGCGCACGACATCCCCAAGACTGCCGTCATCACTCCTTCCGGTCTAGGAGGCACAACCCAAACTATCGAAGGATTCGTCGATGATGTCTTCAGAGGTCCTGAAGTTTTGTAGACATTTAAAATTACGAAATTAGAGCTGGCTGCCTTGATTTTCTTGAAAACACCATTGATGATCAAGGCATTCAACCCTTGGGGAAGTGGCAGCTATTGTGAGGTACTCATAACTGACCACTATCCAGCAGCTGAGTATATTTAACAGATTGTTAGGCATTTATCAGTGGTCCATGCTGAATTATGAGTCCCCTATGATTCCACTGAAAGCATAAATTTATGAGAATCCAGAACAACAGTATATACATCTACTTATTTACACATCAAATGACAAGAGATTTAATGTTTTGATTGTGTATGGTATCGCAGTCGAATTATGGTTTGCACTGTTTGAATTATAGTCTGTAATTAAAAAGGACACGTCAATGTATTTTCATAGTTATTCTGCTGGTTGGTGAGGTATGAGTTCACGCGCATATGCGTTGTTATATAGTGTGGTTAATTGTTTATCCAAAGGAACAGGAGCAAAATTTATTGTGTTATGGATTAAAATAAAAAATAGACGATAATCAAGCTTTGCTCGTTAAAGAGTTGAAGATTATTTATGGTTGCCTTTCTGTTGCAACAGTGGTGAATAGAAAATTTTGAAACCCTACAGAATTGACTCCTTCTGTTAACTATAATATGCTTGAATGTATCGATAGTCATAAGCACAACGATGATTATGTTGGTCATGACTACCAACCTGATCTAACCCCAGCATCGGAATGCTTAGATAAAACCCCTTGAGAACATACGCTGATCATACACAAACCAATAGAGGTCAAACTGCTGTATGTTGTACAAACGCTGAAAATGAATGTTATTCTTTACGGAATTCGGTTTCATTTTGTATTTCAATCTAACTTACGTACAAGAGTATAAGTCATCGAGTGTTTTGTGAGGGAAATGACGTTCACGCGTTATACTTTGACAGTCCTTGTTCAGAGATCAGGGAGAATGTGTTGCCCTATTGAATATGCTCAATTAATTTCCCTAGAAAAAGAAGCAGAGTGCGAAGCACTGGAGAATTTAATAGAGTATGTGGATAGTTTCAATTTACTTAGCGAAATGTATCCAGTTGTGGTTCACCAGATGTAGTGCGTGTTCCAAATACGGCTCACCATATGTAGTGGGTGTCGAGTCGACGACGGACTATGATCACTACTACTATTCGATTACGCGACCAAAAACGACTTGGTTCCTTTGATAACTCGTAAATCAGAAGGCTTTATTAATCCAGATCAAGTATATTTATTGGCGATCTCGTGGTATCGAAATAATACCGAGACGTGCCAAAGGGTACAGGCGAAATTGGCAGAGCTTAAGAAAGTTCGAACCAAACAAGGCGGATAGCGAAACAAGAAGTGAATCTGATACAGTTAAACAAATACAGTAAAACATTCATTTGTACAATTGGTTACAATAATAATGATTGTTTCTATTGTTCCAATCGCGTTCTTATCGACTGGCCGGCCACTACAAACTTATGTATCTTATGAGCTATCCCGTAAAACAGCTTCTAAATCGACGATTTGTACCGATATCGTCGGTGCTAACTTTGTCCAAGGAAACCTGTAAATAAGATGTAACGGTATCTTGCCATGATGAGGGAGTGAACGATCTCGCCTATAGAAAATCCATGATTTACGTATTTATGATGCAGTAAAATGATATAGTTCCGAAAATTCAGGGCAAACATCTAAAGACGAAGCTCATAAATATTATTTATTCACAATGAAAGAGGAAGGCTGCGGACAGCGTTAGCAAACCTATCCCATAGAAAGCAACTTTGCTAAAGAGCACTGGTCAGAAGAAACAATTTGGACCATTTAGACCATATCTTGGGAACTTAAGGATTTCCACTGATAAGTATTATGATGTCTCATGATGAAAGCCAAAATTCTTATGAAGTCACGAGGCCGATGCTTCTTCTGACAATTAGAGGAACAATTAACATAGTTACACGGAATGTGTGGATAATGTGGGAGACCGAAATAACTAGTCAATTAGCTGTAGAAATGAAGAAATAATACTTATTAGTGGTTGGGATAATTGAAAATTGTTGGACTCAGGCTTGAC